TTCTTTGAATTATCTTAAAAATTGCGACATGTTGTTTGATTACAAGGTTTACAAGCCCTTTTCGAGGGTTCAGTTGTATGGGGGCTAGGTGAAATAATGGACCGATCATAACCATTTTCAAAAGGCTTCGTCCCGACAATAGAAGATCATGTATCATGGAATTACCTTCAAAATTGCGACCTGTAGTTTGATTACAAGGTTTACATGGTTGGACAGACGGACATATCTAAATTAACTCAGAAAATGATTCTTAGAAAATTATTTAAGTGGGTATAGGACCAATATTATTGTGCGCTACAAACATCTGCACAAACCCTCCCCACTAAAGTGGTGTAGGGTATAACAAGGTAATTTTTCTTACCCGTTTCCTCATTTTGTACAATATGATTTTTTCAAATTATTGATCACTTGTAGATTCCGCGCTAAAAGAACTGTTCATCTTTTGAGGCCTCGAATGAATCAAACCAATTTCTGAGACCCTATTCTGAAGAAAAGTATATTCTATATGCGTTATGCATCGATCAAAACAACTATTAGTGGAACGGAAAAGGTCTTGACCATATAAGGGTTTGAGGCCAAACATCTTAAAAATGTCTGTATAGTTTTGAACAGATATTGTAGCATTTGGCCAAGCGTTGTCTGGCCGCATGTTCTAGTCATTATTTGGCTTAGTAATCGGAATCAGTAGCATTTGATACAGTTTCCCTATGATGCATCATGATGGTCTGGCCAGATTTCATAAGTTATATATAGGTCTCTTTAGGCCCCACTAACTACAGAGCATTGCCTAAGTGCTACTGATATTGTGGCATTGGCGTCTATTCGGCTATTGGACCTACATATATCACATAAGATTTCTGACGCTTCGATATATCGTAGGTTAATGACTCCATTTTTCATCGCAAGCAATGATTCGGTGCAAAAGTTATTTCCTTTATTAGCGTTTAGGTAATATTTGGGCACATTTAGATCTTTCAAGGCACATTGGCTTCAATTCGTATCGAATTTCACAACTTTTGAATAAATTCCGCTGCCAGCAAATCTTTGGAAATTGGTGCTTGCCCAGCAAAAATAAAACGAAGTACTTCCAAAAAAAGAGCATTAAAAATACTTCCTGAGAATGACTTCAGAAGTAGTGAATTTGGAATCAAATAAAAAGGAAATCCCTCCTATGACAAGCCTGTGTTAAAATCATCACTTCATTAGGTCTTTTTCAGTACTTCCTTGGAGTAAATTCTACTTCTTTTTCGCATCTTTGGAAGTTCTTTTTTTGCTGGGCGTAAGTGAAAATAATCCATGCCTAATATATACGAAAAATGTCGTACATTGTACGAAATGCACCACGAAGAAATTGTTTCGTAATATATACGAAATTATACAAAATAGTTGAGAATGATGCAAAATAATTCGTTTTTACGAAATATATTTTAAATTACATTAATTGTAAAATATAAATTTTTAATAAAAATGTTGAAATTTACGAAAACATTTCTCACACATGAAGGTGAGAAGTTTACAATTTCTACACTGAAAATAATCCATGCTTAACTTTACGAAAAAAAATTTCGTAACTACTTTTTTCGTAATATATACGAAAATTTCGTGTATAATACGAAATATTGTTTAATCAACCCCTTTTCTAATTTTACGAAAGTACGAAAACCTGTCGTAATATCTTTTTTCGTATATATTAAGAAACTTTGTTTTCTTTTACAAAAATAATTTCGTTAAGACATGTAATATTTAACGAAAGTAACGAATTCTTTTCGTAACAAAATTAATTAGTAATATACAAGAATTATTTTTGATTTCACAAAAAAGATATTTTGTAACGATTTTTTTTTTTTTGTTATTTTAAGGGAGTTAAACGCAATTTTAATATGTTTTTTTAAAAAACATAAAAAATTAGTTTTTTTTTAATTCGCAATCTTTTTCTAAATTTACAATAATTATTTTAAAAGAACTAAAATATTTATGTCTTTAAAAAAAATCGTAAAATGAACAAATGTTTTTCTAAAATTATATAAAATTATTTTGCATTTTACTAAAATATTTCGTACAATTTCATATATATTACGAAAGAATTTCGTGGTGCGAAACCACGAAGCATTTCGTACAATGTACAACATTTTTCGTGTATATTAGGCATGGATTATTTTCAGTGTACAATATAATATTTGGACCCTATTCTGGACACTGATGGATGGTGGAGTCGCTTAAGCTAAATATTTTCAACAACAACAATATGTAGCTTAATTTTTATATGTTGTTTTTTAATACAATTGAACTTAACGACTGAAAACAACCACATCATGCTTAAAATTTTTATTAAAAACAAAACTTAAAATTTTAAAAAAAAATTTTAAAATAATATTTAAAAAAATTATGACTTCGTGTAAAATTACATACTTAATGTTTCCATTTTGTTTTAAACTATTTAGGGCTATGTCTGATTTATAGCCGCATAAATCTAAAATTATCAATATTGAAAATCCTTTATTATTTACAACATTATTTCTTCTGCTTAAATGGACATAATTGTCTCTATTAAAATCTCATCGATTTCAAAATAAACATTTGATCAGAATATTGATTTCCAGAAACTAACATAAAGAACTTCATCCTTTTTTTTTCTTCGTGATTTTAAACAATAAAACATTTTTACAACAATGTTAATGATGACAGACAAAAATTACAAATAAGACGTAAATGAGAACGGGGATCATTTCAGTATCGTAATATTTTGATCGGCTGCACAATAAAACGCCTACAGAGACGTATGAGGACAACATGACATTTATGTTTATATAGTAGAGAACTCAATAAATTTCGAAACTAGAACAGAGAGGGTTTACACGGAAAACGCCCTATTAAGACTACCGAAAATAAAGAAAGATTTCATTAAATCAAATAAATAATAATAAAAAAACAGGCAACACAAAGAAAAATATTGTATAAATTTCCATTTCAGTTGACTTTTTGTTTGCAACATTAAAATTTATACAAGAAGAACACAAGTGCTTGTGTGTGTTTATAAAAAAAGAGTAATCAAATTGTATAAATTTATTACAAATATTTATTGAACTTGTTGAAATGCGCCTAAGCACAGACAAAAGAAACAGAATTGAAAAGAATACCTGTCGAGCTAAAGAAAAGATTCTAGGAATTTGAAATAAAAGATTTCAACAAGGAGGGAGTATAAAAAGAGAATAGAATGATGCGCATCTAGAGTTGAGTGGGTATCATAATAAAAGGATTCAAATATTTACAAGCGATTATGATCATTGTCATCAATTGGGTGTGTACTTGTATGTTGTATAAAAGTATGTGCGTTGTAAAACTCTTTCAATATTTCTCTCATAAATGAAAACAGAAAAGATTTCATTTAATAAATACTTAATTTTTCTATAGAATTCGTTTAAGGACATTGAGGATCATTAAGGACAAAGGATTTTTAGAAATTTCTTAAACGCGCACTTGAGTTTGGTTACAAAACAACTCTTCCTTTGATCACACAAACAATAGACACTTGTGTCTTCTTCCAATAATGATTTACATCTTTCAGGATCACTTTTGTCTCTTCTATGTGCTTGTGTATCCTTTCATTTCGTTATTTTATCGTTTTAACATCAGTAATTTATTCATATTCATATTTCAATACAATTCTTAAAATGTTCTTCTTAATGTTGTGTAACAAATTAGTTAAAAGGTTTCCTATTCTTTCATTCTTAGTTACAAGTACATTCCATAAATATTACTTTTTTGGTTATTTTTCATAACGTTCAATACTTGAGGGAATTCATTTGTATTGTATCCTTTACCATTTCGGTATTTTATCGTTGCCATCAGTAATTTATTTATATTCATATTTCTTAAAATGTTTCTTTTTTATTATTTATTCTTAATGTTGTGTAACAAATTATTCAAAAAAAAGGTTTAGTATTCTATTCTTGCCCATATTTAGTTACGAGTACACTAAAGTTAATTAAGACTCCATCTAGTCTTTACATTCCTTAACTATTTTGTCAATTCATTATGGATACCCAGCAGGACATTTATCCATAGATAAATATAAATGTCTTCACTTTGTGCGATCAAGTATTAAATATGATAATGTACAGCAGCAGATGAAGAGAACGGTTTAAATCGTTTATTAAATTTGAAAAATTATGAGTAGCATGCTTTTGTCGTACTTCTTTTTTTATTTTTGTGGTAGATAAGAAAAAAATATATTGTTAACATATTTTCGATGGGGTTCTCAAATTTTAATGGATTTAATGATTAGTTTACCGAAGAAATTTACACATGCTCCAACTTTAACTCGGCTCTCCAATTGCTTGCTGAATTTTTTAAAACCTCTACTTGTTTGACTTATAATATTAACTTCCGGGAAATATTTTTTATTAATATCTTTATTATTCAAAATTAAAAATATATAGAATTTTTGATTCAATTTATCCAAAAAAAATTATTTATACAAAATTTTATCGAAAATTTCCCTTAAATCGAAAAATTATCGAAATTGTCTAAATAGAAAATTTATTCAAAATTTCCTTTATAGAAAATTTATTGAAAAATTATTTAGGTTATGTTGATAGGAGTATGTATGTATAGTATTAATCCGAAAAAATACTTCTAGGCCACTATCTGGCCTCTTGTAAGTTATTTTTCATGAAAAATATTTTTTGGAAAAAACAAAAACCTTAAATAGTGTTTACTGAATGTTTTATCGTCCGATGTTTAGAAACTTAGTATCCTGGACGGAACTTCTAATAATTTTCAAATCAGTGTTCGTGAGGGATGTTATATCCGGAATAATATAACTCCCAAGATATTTGGATCTTATCGAAAGCCCAACAATGTCAGAGAAAGTGCTTCAGAATTGTATGCTCTACATTCCTCTCTATATGCTCTACATTCGCCAGAATCCACACGTCCAATTTTGTATAGCTGTGCCGTAATCCTCTGTGTCCACTCAGAATATGTGACAACATACTAACCTTAGACTTGATCATTTTGATAAGGCTTCTTGTCCTGCTCTCGTTAGGGTCACCCACCGTTTCACTAATTTAATTCAACTCTCGTTGCGTCGAATGGTTTTGCGTTCGTCAGGTTAAATAACTCGAGATCCCTTCCTTTTAAAGTCAGCACATTTGCTCTCCCGAGTGGCCAGGAGGACAGCGTTTTAAGTTTAAAAAAATCTATGAAAAGAGAAATTTACCGAAAACTTTATTAAATGTGATTTTCATCGAAAAATTTCTATAAAAAGAATTAATTAATTGAACATTTTCTATAAAAGCAGGAAATTATCGAAAATTGTCTTTAAAATTTAACTGAAATTTTCTATAAAATGAGAAATTCATGAAAATTTTTTATAAAAAAAACTCATCGAAATTTTTATATAAAATTTTAAATTCTTCGAAAATTTTCTGTGAAAAGAGCAATTCATCAAAAATGTTTTTAAAAAAAGTAATTCTTCAAAAAATGTATATAAAAAGAGAAATACATCGATAATTTTCAATTAAAAAAGAATTCCCTCTTAAATTTTTTATAAATAGCAATTCATCAAAAAGATTTATAAAAAGAGAAATTCTTCGAAAAAAGAAACTTAAAAAAAAAAATTTTTAAATAAAAAAATTATCGAAAATTTTATAAAAAAAAAAAAGTAAAATTTATAGAAATTTTCTTTGAATAGAAAGTTTTAGTAAATTCTTTCTATAAATAGAAATTTCAATACTAGTGATGCGCGGTCCGAGTTGAAGGAAAATAATGAACCAAGCCATGTGAACCCTACACTTAAAGATCTATATACCCATCAATTTTTAAAATAATCGGTTTAGCGGTTTAGATATAATTGATTAAAAATTAAAACGTCGTCGCCATCTGACGGACAAATTTAAAACTTTACAGGAATACTTCGATCTCTGGAACATATATTTGAAGTTTTGTCCCAACAGGTGGCATTACTCTTTTATTTATATACATTTTCTATAAAAGAAAATAAATGTATGAACATTATTAATCAAAATTTTTTTTCGAAAATTGTTTATGGAATAGATGGAAAATTTTCTATAAAGAGAAGATTTGTTGAAAATTTTATATCAAGCGAGAAGTGGTTGGAAATTTTCTATAAAAAGAAAAATTTTTTTAAATTTTCTATAAAATTTATGGGAAGTTATCTATAAAAAAATTCGTGTAAATTTTGTATAAAAAGATAATTTATCGAAAAGTTTTTGAAATAAGAAAATTTATTGAAAATTTAATAAAATTTTAAATTGAGAACATTATTTTTATTATTTCTATAGAAACAAAATTAATCGAAAATTTTTTATGAACAATTTTTATTAAATTTGTAAAAATTTTTCAATAAAAAGAAATTTTGTGAAAAAGTTTCTATAAAACGAAAATAATTTTTTTATAAAAAAAAATTTAAATTATTTCTATAAAAAGAAAAATGATTGAAAATTTTAAAATGTTATCTTTTATTCTCTATAAAATTAAAATTCATGAGCATTTAAAGTAGTGATAAATTAAACATCTTCCTTTATTTTCATTATTATGCAATTTTCATGCATTTCATGTTATTTCTTTAACACTCAATAACAATATACTTTTGTGGTTCTTTTCACACCTAATTATTGATTGTCATATTTTATAAACCAATCAATAGAAAGAAGTTCCACAGCTTTTAACATATTTAAAACTTACATTTGCTTAACAATTTAACTTTATCTTTAAAAAAAATCCGCAATCCCATAAAATTCCTACCAATCAGATATTAGACATTAACAACTTAAAAACAATATTATATGAGTGCTTATGACATTTTTGCATGGGTGTATATAGACAATAATCTAGTAAAATACCTGCAAATATGAACAATCTTAATATGGTTAAAAGTAGATTTTAAACAATTTTATTAAAACCAATACCACCACTTCTATCACTCACTCTTTATCGGTGAAATTTAATTTATATTTTATTAGATTTTGCAAAAATTGATACTAAAACTACTTAAAACTCGATCTTATATTAGTGATAATTTCAATATTGACATTGAAAATGCAAAACGAAAAATAGAAACATTTCTTAATGAATGCAAGTCACAAATGTAACATGAAGTAAGAAAAAACTCTGAAAATGAAATAAATTTGTAAATTTATGCCGATATTAATTTAAATGCATACAAACACCATTTAGAAGAATCTGTTGCACTTTGAATGTCTGTATTTTTGCTTACTACTACTGCTAAGTAAGATGTTAAAGCTTCTGCTCCTGATGATGCTATGGCTGCTGCCACAGATTCCATTTACTAAACATTTGCAATAATCATGATTTTTTTGAGTTTTGTTTTTTTTTTTTCCTCAAGTCCTCAACTTGTCTGTTTTAGTTTTTAATGTATGTAAGAAAAAAATAATAACAACAAAATTTAATATAAAGTTTGTAATCAAATCTTGCTTAAAAACACAGACACTCTGACAGTTGTCTGAAATAGTAAAACGATTAGCTCGGCTAGTTGTATGTAGCATGCTGCAGGCTTGTAGCCATTCAGACGGCATCAGTAGTACGCATTCAAAATCTGAATCTGAACATTTTGCACTCAGCACACTATAATTTTGAATGAAATATTGTGTCAAGCCGAACAAGAGAAAAACATCATGAAGTCCGTTGTGGCTTCTACTTTTATTTAATAATCGAATGCAAAATGCGGGCAAAAGTTTAGATTTTTGTTGTTGTTTTCACAAGCACTTTTGACTAATCAAATAATAATTAACATTAAAGCTAAGAAACAGATCTAGAAGTCAAAGAAATATGAAATTGTTAAGGTTGACTTAAAGGTTCGCTATTTAATAAATTTACCATAAATTTTCACTTTAAAATATTCTTTTAAATTCGTTTTTCGATAAATTTCTCTTTTTTACGGATATTATTCGATAACTTAATTCTTTTTTTATTTTTTGATGAATTTCTCTTTTTAGAAAATTTTTGATAATTTTTTTTATAGAAAACGTTTCTGATAAATTTAATTTTTTATATAAAATTTTCGATAAATTTCACTTTTTAAAGAAAAATTTCTTTTACAGAAAATTTTTATATAATTCCTATGGAAGGTGCCAAGACCGTCCGTTTTTTCTCTAAATGTTCACATGAATGTCATAATTCTTCATGAAGATTCTAGCTGTAATAGTTTCTCAGATATACGAATTTTTCTATTTAATTCATATGGGGGCTCCAAGACCCCATCCCCTCAGATGAAAGTCCGCCATTTTTTCTCCAAAATTTTCAGATGAATATTAAAGTTTTTCATGCAAAACTAGAAGAATATAGTTCTATTAGTTTCCGAAATAAACGAATTTTTCTATTTAATTCATATGGGAGGTGCCGCTCCCCTCAATGGAAGTCCGCCAATTTTTAGGTCAATTTCTTTTTCTTATAGATAATTTTAATAGAAATCTTTTCTTTTTATAGAAGTTTTTCCTGAAAAATTTTTTCGATAAAGTTTCTTTTTATAGACTCATTTCAACATTTTACAGAAAACCTTTTTCCATAAAGTTTTATTTATAGAACAACATTTTCTGTAAAATTTTTTCTTATGAAAAATATTTTCTATAATTTTTTTATAGAAATTTTTGTTAAATTTGTTTTTATAGAACATTTTTAATCAACTATCTTTTTGTAAAAATTTTTCGTTAATTTTTTTTGGAAAATTTTTGATCAATTATCTTCTTTTAGAACATTTTTAATAAGTTTTCTTTTTATATCAAAATATTTATGATTAATTTTTTATGGAAAAAACTTATCGATAAATTAAATTTTATAGAAAATTTAAAAAAAATTTGCTTTTTATGAAAAATTTTCTAAATACCAGAAATTTTTGTAAAATTAATTTTTCATAAAAACAGTTTTAAAAATGTTTCCGAAGGTTCTGTTAAAATTTTTTTTAGAAAAACATTTTCAATAAATATTCGTTTTATAGAGAATTTTCAAAAAATCAAAGATTATGAATAAATTTAAAAAAAAATATTTTTTCATAAAAACTCTTCCAAAAAGTTCTGTTTTTTAAAAAAAATTTGAATAATCTTCTCCAAACTTTTATTTCCAACAACAAATACATGCTATAGTGGAGTTCCCCACACTGAAAATAATCCATGCTCAACTTTACGAACAAAAAAATCGTAACTTCTATTTTCGTAATATTGACATAAATTTCGTGTATAATACGAAATATTAATTAATAAAACCCTTTTCTATTTTTACGAAAGTACGAAAACCTTTCGTAATATTTTTTTCTTTAATTTTAGCGAAATTAAATATAATAATATTAATTAAATTATCATTAAATAAAACTACATTTTTATAAAATTTAAGAAAAAGTATAATATTATTCGCGAATTGTTTTCATAAAAAAAAATTAAAAATTCGCGTGGAGAATAATTTTGAACTAAAATTAGAAAAAATATTTTAAAATGAACAAAAATATTTGCATAAATTAATATTTGGTAAATTTTACCATATTTGTTCAAAATTCACTTTTTTCAATTTATGTAGATTAATTTTTCCAAGATTATTTTGCATTATACTAAAATATTTCGTACAATTTCGTATATATTACGAAAGAATTTCATGGTGCGAAACAACGAACGATTCGTACAATGTACGACATTTCTCGTATATATTAGGCATGGATTTTTTTCAGTGCATCAACGGTAAATGCTGCGAAATGATAAACTCGTGTGAGAATTTTTACAAAACCATTCGAGAAATTTTAGTTTTTTTTTTTCGCTGCTGATGCTGTTATATCTTTATTTAATTTTTTTTCAACTAGCGGCTTCAGTTGGCTTAAAGATCAAAAAACCATTGGGATGATGATGGCTCAAGTTAAATCCAAAACATAATTAAGTCATTATTATAAAAGTCGCACAAACAGAAATATTTCTAAATGGAGCAAAAAGGGGGGAAAAGTAAACTAGAGTGGCACACTAACATCCATGCACACACTTACATATCATAAATTCATACAAGTTACATTTAGCATGTTACTTGGACTTGGTAGTGTGGCTTGGTTGTGCACCCAACCAAGTATCATCTTCAGCTTTATCATCATTATGATTTTAATTTCAATTCAGATTTTTCTGAGAGACTTTATCCCTGTGCTATAGTCTTTGGCTTGTTGTGTCATAAAGTATGTTTATTTAAAACT